ACAAGAGGTCTCCGGTCATTGCGTTTTGAGGATGTGAATACTCTTTACGAGCTTTTGGCCTTGCAGTTACATCCACGAGATCCTTATGAATGTATGCAGATTACAGAGACAATGGCAGGGTTTTTGCATACCTATCCTAAACCCCAACTTTACTGCTTTTATATTACAGTAATCAACCCAATCAGTGTACCCTGTTGATTTACTATTACTTAGCCCATTCACCATACTATACTCAACTTCCCCCCGGTTTTATAGTTACCTCTATGCTCCTTATTACTATATTCTACCTACCCACTAACCCTCCCCACCGCCACCTTCACGTTGCCCTCAAAACTCGCGAGTACAGTATTCAGCCCGTTTAATCTTCTACCCATAACCCACCTACCTCATCCACACTAACAACTACAAGATCTACCCCCACCCTTCCTCCACCCCTCTAAGACCACCACAAGATCTGAAAAGGAAGGCCCTCTCCTCTCCCCTTCACCTTCACCCCCCTCACCCCTTCCTTCCTTCCGCAAATGCAGACTGATTATCGCCAATCGCGTTACAAGTGCTGGCACCATTTACGAGTCCCATAAAGGCCCCGGATGAGAGCCTTTATGGTTTGCACCTCCGGGAATTATTCCCAGGTCACCCGAGAGTGGTTTTTAATATTCGGAAGTCTCCCTCGGGTCGCCGGCTTTCGGAATTATTTATAACTTCCTCTTTTTTCTTTCTTGGTTGCTGAAATTCGTGGCTTGGTTGGGCAGGAAAGGGTTTAGAGGAGTGGGAGTGGGAAGCGAAGAGGAGAAAGGGAAAGGAAGAGTAAGGGGACAAGGAAGGAAAGTGGGAGAGGGAAAATGTATGTGGGAAATGCAGATAGATGGGAGAAAGGAGAGGAGAGGAGACTGAATAGAGGAAATAGGGGAAAAATAGAAGTTTAGAAGAGAGAGAGAGAGAGAGAGAGAGAGAGAGAGAGAGAGAGAGAGAGAGAGAGAGAGAGAGAAGAGAGAGAAGAGAGAGAGAGAGCAGAGAGAGAGAAAGGAACAAATTTAATCCCTATTCAAGAGCGTTCGAAATGAATTTAGAAGCGCGTGTGTACTCAATCCCCCCTCCCCCCCCCCCCCACCCCTTCCCTAGCCCGTCCGGTTTTTGCGACAGCTCCAACGGCCTCGTTATTCCGCCAGAATTACACTAATTGGCTCGTTAGGCAAGGAACTCCTCTAGCCCCTGGGATGCGATTCCTTCCTGGGACTGTTAATTTAGCTTCGGAGTTCATAGTGTAATCCTTAGCAGTGACTTCCGTCTCAATGTATTTAACGAATTTTATGGATTTTTTTTTTTTTTTTTATTAATTTCGTATTGTGATAAAAGAGTTGCTCTAACAATACCTATTAATCCATCCACGTAGGTTTATATACACACAAAAAATCTGCGCTATTAATTCCCGCAGTGGACTTAGTAGGATATGTAATTAACCCCCCCCCCCCCCTTTTTTTTTTTTTTTTTTTTTTTTTTTTTTTAGCTTGGTACCGACGCTGAGAGTTTAATGTCCCGTGTAATTAGGTGCAGGTGTTTTCGAGGTAGCCGAGGCGACGCGACGCTGCTGGCTGGAAGAAAGGACGGGGTTGCTGGCGAATTTTGTAGCGGGGGTGGGAGAGCTTTTTTTTTTTTTTTTTTTTTTTTTTTTTTTAGTGAGAGGACATATTTGTTAGTGAAGGACAGAGGGTCGGAGAGAGGGAGAGGAGAGGAAGGGAGAGGGAGCAGGGAGAGGCGAGAGGGAGAGGGAGAGAGGAGAAGAGAGAGAGAGAGGAGAGGAGAGGGAGAGAGAAGGGAGAGGCGGATGAGAGATGACCGGGGCAGCAGAGAGAAGAGGCGAGAGGGAGAGAGAGAGGGAGAGGGAGAGAGGGAGGATGAGGGGAAGGAGAGAGAGATAAGGGGGACGCGGCGAGCAAGAGGAAGAAGAGAGAGGGAGCCGGAAGAGGACGAGAGGAGAGGGAAGACGAGAGAGAGAGAAGGGAGAGAGAGAGGAGAGGAGAGGGATGCAGAGTAGAAGAGACGAGAGGAAGGAAGGAGAGGGAGATGGAGAAGAGAGAGAGAGAGGAGATGAGTAGAGGCGAGAGGAGGAGGAGGAAGAGAGAGGAGAAGGGAGAGAGAGCGAAGGGAGAGAGAGAGGAGAGGGGAGAGAGAGAGGGAGAGCGAAGAGAGAGGGAGACGGCGACGAGAAGAGAGGGAGAGGAGAGAAGAAGAGGGGAGAGGAGAGAGAGACGAGAGGAGAGCGGAGACGAGAGAGGAGAGAAGACGAGAGAGGGAGTGAGGGAAGAGAGGAGAGAGAGAGAAAGAGACGAGAGAGAAGAGAGAGGGAGGAGAGAAAGAGAGGGATGAGAGAAGAGAGGAAGGAGAGAAGCAGAGAGAGAGACGAGAGAGGAGAGAGAGATGAGAGAGGAGAGGAAGAGGGAGGAGGCCGAGGGAGGGGGAGCACGGGAGAGAGGGAAGAGGAGAGGGAGAGAGAGAGGGCGAGAGGAGAGGGAGAGGAAGGAGAGAGAGAGGGAGAGAGAGAGAGATGAGAGAGGAGAGAGGGAGAGAGAGAGAGAGAGAGGGAGGGAGGGAACGGGAGGGAGGGAGGGAGAACGGAAGAGAAGAGGAAGGTAGAGGAGAGAGAGAGAGGAGGGAGAGAGAGAGAGAGGAGAGAGGAGAGAGAGAGAGAGAGAGGGAGGAGATGGAGAGGGAGAGCAGGGAGAGGCCGAAGAGGGAGAGGGAGAGAGAGAGACGAGAGAGAGCGACCAGACGAGAGAGAGAGAGAGAGGAGAGAGAGCAGAGAGAGAGCTAGAGTGGAGAGTGTGCCTGACTGGTTTGAGTGCTATGCCGTACATATGGAAGTTGCGAGCGAGTGTGTGTGTGTGCGTGCTGCGTGTTGGTGGCCGAGAACTTAAATCTGTCCCTTGCATGACCTGTTCCGACGCACCTGACCTGTTGGTGAGATGAGTGACGGAGATGACAGGTTTATTACGAAATTGATACTTGACCAGCTGGTAGTGATGGCACTCCACGGACCGGCGATGATAATTGGCGACTCCCAGTTCGGTGATAATCATGTGATATTTCATAGGTTGGTCAGGATAATTATCTTATGCTGTCGATGATGATAATTAGCTGCTGATTGACTAAATGATGATTGGTTTCTAATTGATAGGTTCCTAATGATGATTTATTGGAGATACATGTTCTTTTGACATTTTGTACTCGGGCAATTCATCATTAACCTTTTAAGTGCATCGCCTCGAAATAACAATAAGTTAATGATTAGAAGGATAAAGGATAATTATAATGATGATGAAAATAGTAATGGTAATGATAATGATAATAATAATTGTGATAATATTGATAATAATAATACTGATAATGATAATGATGATAATGATAGTAATAGGAATGATAATGATAATAATAATGATAATGAAAGTAATAATGATAACGATAATGATGACAATAATAATAATGATAATTATAAAAATAATAGTAGTAGTAGTAAAAGTGATTGTAGTAATAGTAATGATAATGATAGTAAAAGAAATGATAATAGTAATAATAGTATAAGTGATAATCATAATAGCAATATGTGATAATCATAATAATAATATAAATGATAATCATAATGGTCATAGAACAAAGAGAATAATAATGATAATGATAATAATAATAATGATAATGATAATGATAATAATAATAATGATGATAGACCAACAAATAAGAAAAATACCCTATTGCATCTTCATCTCGGGAAAAAGTACAGTGACCTTTCTTGCGTTTGACCCTGCCCGCTGTTCCTATCTTCCTGCGCATTTCCTCTTACTCCTCTCCTCCCTTCCTCCCCCCCCCCCTCGCCTCCTTCCTCTTCCCGTTCAAGGAGTTGCTCTATTAGCCCCGCAGTAAGAGGCAACGGTGACTAAACTCCTTTTCTCCTCTCGGTTCTCTCTCTCTCTCTCTCTCTCTCTCTCTCTCTCTCTCTCTCTCTCTCTCTCTCTCTCTCTCTCTCTCTCTCTCTCTCTCTCTCTCTCTCTCTCTCTCTGCTCTCTTCTCTCTCTCTCTCTCTCTCTCTCTCTCTCTCTCTCTCTCTCTCTCTCTCTCTCTCTCTCCTCTCTCTCTCTCTCTCTCTCTCTCTTTCTCTCCTCTCTCTCTCTCTTCTCTCTCTCTCTCTCTCTCTCCTCTCTCTCTCTCTCTCTCTCTCTCTCTCTCTCTCTCTCTCTCTCTCTCTCTCTCTCTCTCTCTCTCTCTCCTCCCCTAGTCCCTCTTTCCCACCCCTCTATCACGCTTTGCTCCTTCTCTTCTTCTCCGTCCTACTCCCCCTTCCACTATCTCTCTTCAAACCCCTCTGTCTCTCTCTCTCACATCTTAACCTCTCCTCCCTTTCCTCTCCTCTCCCCCTTCTCACCCCCTTCTTCTGCCCTCCCCCCCTCTTCCCCTTCCTTCCCTCTCATTTCCCTCCCGTCCGTCTCCCCTCTCAGTCCCTCCTTCCTCTCTTCCCACCCCTTCCACCCCTTTTTTTCCCCCATCTTCCCAACCCCCTTCCCTCCTCCCTCTCCCTTTCCACCCTCCTTCCCCTCTCCCTTCTGTTTCCTAACCCCTTTCCTTCTCCCCCCCCCACTCCTTCCCACTCCCTCCCCACCCTCCTCCCCCCTAGACACCCCAAGGGCTAGCTGGCTCGACTATAGATAAGAAGGTCTTTATGGCGTTATAAAAACCTCGGGAGCTCGGGGACGCGCGCCCTCGCCGGAGATTGGAATGGGGGGAAGGGCGCGGGGGGGGCGGGGGTGAGGATGCGACCGGCCGCCCGCCCGCCGCCCTTCCTCCCTTCTCGCCTCTTCCTTTAAAGTTGTGGAAAGTCTGTAAATGCGGGATCTGGTTTCTCTCTTTTCTTTTTCTTTCTCTTTGTTTCTCTTTTTGATTCTATTTTTTTTCTTTCTCTCTCTTTCTCTTTCTCTCTCCTCTCCTCTCTCTCTCTCTCTCTCGCTCTCTCTCTCTCTCTCTCTCTCTCTTCTCTCTCTCTCTCTCTCTCTCTCTCTCTCTCTATCTCTCTCTCTTCTCTCTCTCTCTCTCTTCCCTCTCTCTCTCTCCTCTCCTCTCTCTCTCTCTCTCTCTCTCTCTCTCTCTCTCCACTCTCTCTTTTCTCTCTCTCTCTCTCTCTATTTCTCTTCTCTTCTCCACTCCCTCTCTGTCTTCCTCTTTTTTCCTTCCCAAAAGCGCATTCGTTTCTCCTATTTTGCAAGGCCTTCAAAATGAAATGAGCGATGAATATGCAATATTTGCAATGGCAGTTGGGGAAATGAAGCGAAGGGGGAAATGCGAAGAGGGAGGGAGGGAGGAGAGGCGAGGAGAAAGGGGGAGGGAGGGAGGGAGGGAGCGGAGGGAGGAGGAGGGAGGGAGGGAGGGGGAAGGGGGAGAGGAGGGGGAGGGAGGAAGGGAGGAGGAAGGAGGGAGGAGGGAGTGAAATGAGCGAGGGAGGGAGGGAGGGAAAAAAGGGAGCGAGCGAGCGTTGGTAATGGGGGAGTAAGTGAGAGAAAGAATCAGTCAGACAGACAGACAGACATATAGACAGAGAAAGATGTAAAAGAGTAGAGAAGAAAAAGAGAAAGAGAAAGGCAGAAGGCAAGAACCATCGACAACGAAACTAAGTGAGCGAATCGCGACCTTCCTGGGCCGGTAGTCAGTACTGAATCGATATTGCTGTCCGCTTACTGCGTGCGTGAGCCGGGGGCCGAACCAGGGCGTGTGGGACGGAAGTTGCTTGGTTCGGGTTGGGTTCTGGCTTCAGGGCGCTTCATCGTGTGCTAGTGGTTGCTCGTGTGTGTGGGTTGGTAGTGAATTGCCAGATGTGTTGCTTAGGTGGAGGTACGTTAGAAGATGGCGTTGTGGGTTTAGAAGTGCTTGTTCAGATCATGTGCTAAGTGGGTTGTGAGGGTTCAGATCATGTGGTTCAAGGCGTTCAGATCGTGATAAGAGAAGTGGGTTGGTAGAAAGATCATGGGGTTGGTGGGTTTGGGTTCAATCATGTGCTCAGAAGTGGGTTGGTTTGAAAGGGTTCAGATCATATGCTTGGTATGCGGGGTAGAAGTGGCTCATGTGCTGGGTATTTGGGTATAAGTGGCTTGGTATATGATAATGATGATGATAATGATGATGATGATGATGATGATGACTATGATGATGATCATGACGACGACGACGACGACAATGATAAACCAATAACGATAGATAAATGCGGGGTAAATAGAGTAGATCTAATGAAATGACTTTGGGAAAAGTTCAATCCATAGAGTTTAGTTAATATTCTACAATACGATGTATTAAAAAAATGTCCCACGAAGTTAACAAAATTACACAGCAGGAAGGATTACGAAAATTGAATAATAATGATAGCAATAACATTAATAATGATAATGATAATAGAAATAATAACAATAATGATTATAATAATGGTAATGAGAATGACAATAATAATGATGATAATAGAAATAATAACAATAATGATTATAATAATGGTAATGATAACAGTAATGATAATGATAATAATGATATTGATAATGAGATGATAATAAGATGATAATGATAATAAAGATGATAATCATAGTAACAGATATAAATCCCAATATTCTAATAAGGAGTCTCGGGGCTTTAAAAGATCCCCGAAGTCGAGCAGGTAAAATGCTTTCAGTTTTCCCTCATTTGCTCTTTAAGGTCGACCAGCATTTAGGGGCAACAGCGTGCTCATAAACATACTGTCGGGGGGGGGGGGGATATTGGCTCTAGTTCCCACATATATTTTGAAGTGAACGTCAGTCAGGGTAAGGTTTGCTGTGCTTTAAAGGCGAAAATTGAGAGAAAGGTTTTGAAGGCGAGTTGGTTCGGATAAAAAAAATGTGCAAAATGTCTTTTCGACGAATGCGGGGACAGGGAAGGATTATTAATCTATAAATGAAATAAAATGAAATGAATAAATGGTGTTAAATTGAGAATAAATGTTTTAGAGGTTGGCGTTCCAGATATATTGTTCCAACGCTTCATTTTTTATGGGTTCGATCATGTACAAATGACCAAATTTAGGGTCATCAGTATTTCCTAATTTATATCCAAAGCAAAATCTTTCTGACCAAACGGAGGTTCATCAGGAATGTCCCATTTATATTAAAAGTAAAAGTTTTCTCTCTTGATTTAGGATTGCCACTTCCCCCCCCCCTTTTTTTTTAAACAAAATAGAATCTTTCTCACCTATTTTGAGATGGTCATTATTTTTCCAAATTAAAGGAATCCTACTGAACACATCCAGGATCTTCACTATTTTCCCATTTATATCAAAAGTAGAATCTTTCCGGTCTAATTTAGGCTCATCAGGAGAAATGCATCCACGTCCAACAATTTAATTTACATGAATTACACACGTGGCAATGTTTTTTTTTCTTTCTTTTTTTTTTTTTTTTTTTTTTTTTTTTTTTTTTTTTTTTTTTTTTTTTTTTTTTTTTTTTTGCTTTGCTTTGCTTTGCTCTTTAGCCAATGATGAAAAATTCACATCAATTTTCATTTCTTCGTCAAGGGTTATGGTAATTAGTTTCCCTCATAAATGATAATGTGGATCCCGTAAATAGGCCTATTTTACGCGTCATTTGATATAATTACTGGGTATTGAGGCAAAGGGTTATTATCGTTTTCATAATTTATGTGATTTTTTTCGGACCCAAAGTCGTGATTTTTATTCATTTTTTCTTTTCTTTTCTTTTTTTTTTCTTTTATGAAATCCGAATAAATTGCTGTATTTAGCTGCATTTAGAGAGTTCATGATGGCCAGACTTCAAATTTAGCTAAGTGAGAGTGATTGAAAAAGGTCATTTAAACGGGAGAAATTCTGCTGCTCCTACTATTAGAGAAAAGGGATTTCAGTTAACGGAGTCGATGTATCTTTAACAATGAGTTTATTTGTTTATTTATTTATTTATTTGTTTATTTTGCTGTGATTATCAGCTGACCTCTTGGCCGGTTCCCTTGTCGCTCGAAGAAGAAAAAAAGATAAAAATGGGAAGAGAGAAAGAAAGAAAAAAGCGATTCAACTTGAAGAAGAGGAAGAGAAAAAGGAAGGAAAAAAAGAAAGAGAAAAAAGTGAAAGGAGGACGGAAGGAAGGAGGAGAGAAAAAGCGTTTCTCAAGGATATCTGGAGTGCTTGGGGGGAGGCGAAAAGGTCGGGAGAACAGCGCGGTTATTTGATGCAGCCTGCCCCCCCCCCCCCCTCTCTCTCTCTCTCTCTCTCTCTCTCTCTCTCTCTCTCTCTCTCTCTCTCTCTCTCTCTCTCTCTCTCTCTCTCTCTCTCTCTCTCTCTCTCTCTCTCTCTCTCGGTTTCCAGCATACACACAGGTACACATACACGTAATATACAAACACTCGAGCATACGCGCACGTACATAGACACTCACGCAGACGCACATATAACACGCACACACACACACACACACACACGCGATACGTTCAAGATCGGTTCTCGACTTGACTATATTGCATCTAGGCTCTGGCCTTCGACTTTCAATGAATGGATCCGACTTTTAAAATCTTTCAGTCGCTTTTTCAGACGTTCTTCTCTTTCTCTTTATTTATTTTGCTTCCTTTTTTTCTAGACTTTTTTTTTCTTTTAAAGTCTTTCAGTTTCATTTTTTTCTAAGAGTTCCTCCCTTTCAGATTTCACATTTTATTTATTTTCTCTTCTTTTCTCAATTTTTTTTTTCTGTTAGAATCTTTCAGTCTTAGACTTCCCTCTTTTCAGACTTAATATTTCCAGCCTTTTTTTAAAGCCAACTTCTTGCCTTTTTTTTACTTTTAAAGTCTTTCAGTCCCATTTTTATTGGTCCTTTTTTAGGCTTATTTTTTCCTTTTTTTTTTAACTTTCTTTCTAGACTATTTTTTTTAAGATTTTTCAGTCCTATGTTTTAAAGTTCCTTCTTTCCAGATTTTCTTCTTTTTTCTTTTATTTTACTTTTCTCTTTTTCTTCCTTTCTTTCTTTCTGATCGAGAATCTTGGATCGAGGATCTAAGGAGTCCTTACCCAGGTCCTACGAGAGGCAATCTGTATATTTTTTTTCAGGGTACATACGGACGAAATTACCCTTGCATTCCAAGCCAGGATCACCATTAAGGTGTGGCATTCTTAGCCATCACGAGTAAGGGTTCTTATGGAATTGAAAGTATTATTCTTAGGACTTTCAGTGAATGAAGTTGAATTGTTTTATTGTGTTGGCGTGCGATATATTGAGAACAGGTTGCCGATAATGGTGGTTTAGATTCTGTTAATGATTAAAGTGATGGTGGCGATAACGGAAAGTTCAAAGCGATTTATTAGTTTAATTATGAATGATTTCGTGGGACCACCCACCCCAAAAAAATAAAAATGTTTTGAATAGCTACGAGTTTATATTTCATTAATCATAATGATACCAATATGTGTTTGTGTGTGTGTGTGTGTGTAAGATATAGGACATACAGCCTTTAAATCAACATATCCGGACTGCACTTCTCGCCTTAAAAAATGTTTCTTATTTAGTGTGTCCATCAAAATAAAAAAAATCATACCACATTCCTCCTCAGAACTCAAAGAAAAATAAAATAATATGGGGCCATACAGTATTGAAATAAAATAACTTGGCTGGACTGCACTTCTCGTCTCAAAAAAAAAAAAAAAAAAAAAAAAATCTGGGGTGACTGATCGAATCTCAGCGGTCAAGTCCCTATCCGGGTCACACTTTTTCGAGAGCTGTCAAGTTGGCCTGGGAATCGGTGGATAAGAAGCCCGGGAAGTTTGAGATAAATGCAAGTTATTGGTCAGACGAATGGAATTAGTAGGGCGAATATTGATACTCTTGGTCGTTATAATGATAATGATGGTAAAGGTGTGAAAAAGATTGATAATGGTAGTGATGATCTTAATGAGAATTAGTTCAGGATTAGTATTGCATGTGATTAGGCATGCATTATTGAATGGAAT